GGTGGCGCTCCCCCACGCTTGGAGCACTCTGATTGGCTGTTTCTGTTACCCATTCAGAGTGCGAATAAAGGGTTATGGACGGACAGACTTAGACTTTTATAATATTAGAAGTTTTGGAAATTGAATATAAGAGTTCAATTTTGCTCTAGAAATTTTCAGAATTTTCTGTTATGGTGGTATAGAAGCTGGTTTGCCAGAAGAATAAACAATTGCTTTAACAGCAGTAGTACATCAAGATTTAAATGAAATTAAACACAACAGTGGTGATTTCCACACAAATAAGGTTAATATAATTGTCTACTATGGGGTCAGAAAGAAATCCTGTCTGGTGGCAGTGATCATGGGGACTTTCACTTTCACTTAAAACACTGAGCAGTGATTGTCTGTTTCGATTACATGGGTGTATCCCACATATCAATTGTTAACGTTTGGCAGGGAACTTTGACAGTAACCTTTCTCTTTTCTGGGATGTGGAAATTAAATAAATTTAACCTTTTTACTTCCCTGTGAAACTAGGTAGATTATTAACTGGGAAAGCTCATTGTTTAAACAAAACTATGTAACTAGCAAAAATAGAAATGAAAGGGAAGCATAATTTTTTTTTTTTTTTTAAATTATAGTTTTGGACACAAGTCTGTCTCTGGCCATGAGCATAAAGAGGCAGAGCATATCTTCATTTACAGATGAAAGTCGTCATCAACATCTGTAGAAATCTGTATATTAAATATAGATTAATGCACTGCCATCCATGTTGGATTCCAGTATGCTGAAAAAGGTCAAGAATGGGACAACTGGGAATTTGTACCATCCAGGAAGATGAGATGCATTTATTCAGGCAAAATTTCCCCAGGTCCTGCCTTTAGCCCCAAACTGAGACTAGCGAAATATCTATCTGACTTAGATCTTGACAGTAAATAGTGTTAATTAAATACAGGTCTTGACTATGTCTCTGATCTCTTGGATAAAGGCCAATAGATTTTGCCTTGGCTTTCTGAAAATGTAATTTTACTAGTGTGTTTATCTGGCTGTTTTATATACAGTAAATTGAAGATCCATGGACATTTGTTTTCAATGATATCTCTGAATTTTTATTTTATAGTGATGGCATAATGGCTAAGCATTAAAAAAGCAGGAATCCTATTAGGAAACTTCAGGGACTAAGATAGCAAGTGAATTTACAGTTGATTCATATAATGTATGGCCAAGTGCAGTTGCCACCTAGTTATTTTTTTTTTTTTTTTATTATGTGAATTTGTGACAAAGGTGCACTGGCTTTTTAAAAAATAAACATTGCCTTTATTCTGTATTCAGTTTCAAAATGAACTATTTTCACTAATACCTTGTGTATTAAAAAGAACCCTCAATAACAATACTTTTTCTAGATCTCTGTTTATGTATGTATAATAAAAAAATAATTCCTCTTTGGAATTTTGAGGCAATTGATTACCATATGCAAGTGTATTTTCCAGTTTAATAATGTTTCTTTAGACACATTTCTCAAATGCTATATCGTATCATACACATTTAGAAGTTCTCCTTTACAATTTTTAAGTTAGCCCTTTTTTTTCCTCCCTGAAACTGTTTATCAAACAAGAAAGGAGTTCCATGAATCATATCTAGAAAAAGTAAGGGGAGGTAAATATTATGTACATTTAGATTCTTGCTTATGCTTCATAAAAAGCAAGATAGTTCTGTAAAGGGACCCTTAAAATGTAATGGTTCCTTTGAAAATCTGCAAAGGGAGTCCCAGACTTGTGAAATAATTGACTTGTTTCTCTCCTTTCAAATGATTTAAATGACTAATTAAGTATAAGAGGTGCATGTGTGAAAAGTTGTAACTTTCTTTTCTGTTTGTAATCATTCTATTTTTATTCTTTCTAGTACCTTTTTTGCCATCATGAACTATTCAAACTGTTAAAATCGTTTTACAAGACTATGATTTAACCTTTCCACTCTAAACAAAGATGGAGACTCCCAATAATCTTATGCATGCAAATCTGTAGTGTTATGCACTGTTAGGGTCATAGGGAAGTAGTGCTGGAAGGGACCTCAGGAGATCATCTAATCCAGCCCCCTGCTCAAGGCAGGATCATCCCTAACCAAACCTTCCCAGCCAAATGGCTGTCTAAGCTGCTCTATAGCTTTATTTCATACTTTGTTCCTTGAATGGTCCCAATGCAGCAAGATACTATAGCTGACTTAGTATATGGAAATCTTAGTGACAAGCAGTCTAGGAATATATGTAAAATTAGGAGTAGAAAGGCCATTAGTTCCTGCAGCAAGATTTTGCAAATCAGTTCATCCTTGCAACACCAGGAGTATGGAAAATCACATCGGCATCCTGCTAACAAGAATAAGTTAAAATGTAGCACTGAAAGGACCACAGGACCACATTAGAAGTACCTTTTAATACTGAACCATTTATCCAGATAGGACTGATGGTCCTGTAGCACTGGGCTGAAGCATTGAAGTGGAATTCAGGAAATACGGGTTCAGTTCCCTGTTTTATCTTTTGACTTTTCTTGTGACTTTTGGGGAGTCCTTTAATCTTTCCATGTTTCAGCTTGCTTATGTGCATGCATGCACACATTCTCTGTCTTTCACTCTCTCACTTTTCTTTGTCCATGTAGACTTTAACCTCTTTGGGATAGGGGCTTTGTTGTGGAAGCACTGAACAGTTTTACAGTTGGGGCTACTTTTTGAAAAGGGTTTGAAACACTGTATAAATACTCCCTTCCCCCTTGTTCCTAAAAATAGAAATTCAGTATGCCCTTTGAATTATTTGTACAGTTTGTATTTGTTTTCCTCTTTGTAATACTTTTTTTTTTTTTTTTTTTAAGGTCTTTGAATTCGGGGTCTGACTGAATTTTTTCCAGGTTAGTTCTGTTTTTTTGTTGTTGATTAACATCCCTTAAATAAAAATATCTATGCATACATCAGCAGAGAAATGGATCCTGAGTATATCTTATGCAGCAGGAAGCTTATTTTTAGGACATGTTGGAATTTGGATAATTTTATCTTTTATTTATATTGCATTAAATGATTACCTGTCATTGCTCAAAACTGAATGGTTAACTGGAACTGGACTCGTATCAATTCTTCTCCATCAGAAGCTCCAGTATTCCATCAAAATGTATCTTGCAGCAAAGCAGAGGTGTAGCAAGGTCTTTCAGAACCTGGGGCGGGATGGGAGGAATTATGCTGACCACTTGAAACACGGAGAGGGGAAGGAAGAGCAGAGTTGTACCTACCTCTGCTCTTCACACTCAGGTGACAGCTGGTATTGCTGCAGTTGGTGCTGTCGCAGCATAGGTTTAGGCTGCCGCTGCTGGGGGATATGCTTGATTCATAATGGGTGCAGCAGCCTTGGTGTGCAAGGTTCCTGGGAGTTGACACTTGCCCCCTGGCTCCGAGATATACTACTGGGTAAGGGGCTGTACCTGCCTAGCTCCTCTGGCCTGCTGTAGCACAGACTCTGAGGGAGAGGGGGTGATTCTGGTGCCCCCTTCAAGTTGGTCCATAGGGCTAGTGCCCTGCTCCCCCAAGACACAGTTCCCCTGCTGCAACAAAGGAGCATTCATGTCCAGCTGTTGCTTGCTTGCTTATTTATTTATTTATAATGGTCTCAGTCTGTAGCAGTTTCTAATTTACTTTTCTACCGACCCACCTATTCCCCCACCCTCTCATTATCCAATTCCCACCACCAGTTAAGCATTGAAAAATCTAGAGAATCAAATTATATATGGTTTGTGGTGTGCTGTGGGTGGGGTAATATCTGTGGTGGATGGTACATAGCATTAAATTACTTATGCCCTCATTTTCTTGTTTTACTGGGTTTTATCAGGTGTATTGTGCATGTGGCAGCCCCAACTGCTGCAGAAATATGAAATTTCAAATCAGAAATTTGAAAAGGGCTCATTTAGGAAAGTCTGAAACTTTGGGTAATTGAACTAGATTCAAGATGGGATCTAGACCTCATTTAAAAAAATAGAGGAAAAGAAAGTTGTTTACATCCTGCAATTCAGTGGTACCTGGCATGTGGAAAGCCAGGATTCAAGTTGTTTTTCTGCTTAGTCAGAACAAGGACCTGTACTTGGGTCTCAGGAGAATGTCCTAGCCAGTGACTGTGTTCAGTATTTTGGGTGCATTTCTCTGCCCCTCTCCTTTGTAAATCCTTAACAGGTAAATGTTTGTTACATGAGAGAAAATTACTCTAACGTCAGTGGGGGCAACCTTTTTGGCAGAAATGCCAGAAATTGGGTCCTTACCCTCCCCAAGTACCACTTCCCTTGATTAATCTAAAGGTCTGCTTTCTGTTCCTTCCCTGTGCTCTCCCTGTCTGATGTACAGGCAGTCCTTGGACTTATGACACAATTGGTTCCTGAAAACCGCGTCTTAAGTTGAAATGTTTTCAAATCTGAACCAATTTTCTCATAAGAAACAACGTTATAAATGGGGGATTGGTTCCTGAACCAAGGCCCGATACCCTATTTTCACTAAAAATACCCCAGAATTTTGTACTCGATCAATTTTAGATGAGTAATATAGCTACATTTAATATATTTCTATTGTAAATAGCAATCTTATTGATTTGGTAGGACTTCTTTGAGGTGACTTTTTGAAGGGCTCTTGGTGTTGGACTCCTTGAAGGGTTCTTGGCTGGAGTCTTCTCAGGAGTCTTGGCTGCAGGTTTTTCTGTAGTCTTGTCTGTTTTCTTAAAGAAAGTGTCCCAGGAAGTTTGGACAGATATTTTCCAGGGAGATGAGAGACACAGTGAACTTGTTCACTTACGTGGCATCGCATCGGATCAAGCGTTGTAAAGTCAAAACTGATGTCATAAAGTTGAAACAGGGTGTCAATTTATAAATGTTGTAAGTGTGAAACGTTGTAAGTCGAGGGCTGCCTGTACTGCTTTCCTTTGTGCTGCCTGTCCTCTCCCTGATCTGCCACATGGCACTTGTGGCACTCATGGTGCAGGTTGGCCACCCATGAGTTAGGTGATGACGGTTATTTAAGCTAGGTGACATTTATCTAGAATGAGGGGAGAAATATATATATTTTCTATCAAGTGGAACAACTTCACCATGAGAAACACCAAAACCACAATATCAGTTTCTCCAGGGCTTGGAGCATTTTCCCAATAGAGTGGAGACTAAGTTCAAGTCCATGCTTCACACTGGGCAGGGATTTTCTCATATCATCAATTTGAACATGTGTCCTGTGTGCTTTGATCCCTGGGCTATAGGGTAAAAGATAATAGTACCATTACCTCTCATCTGTCTTGTGAATAGTGCCCAAAGGCTTACGTACATTAGGAGGTGAGTCTGAAGTAAGCTAGGTGTGAACTTACAGTAAGTTGACTCTTTAGCACTGATTGCCTGCATATAATGCTTTTAGTGTGGAAGAAGCTTGACTTTGTCTGTGGTAGCTTACTTCATTTTTTCTGTGTACTAAGAGCAGCATCCACATGGTTTGGTAAGCCACAGTTTGTTACCTACTCTAAACCAGGGGTGTCAGACTCAACCTGGGTCCCAGCCCCCTGACACTGGGTTGAATCAACTGGTTGCATGTTTGACACCCCTGCTCTAAACTAACTTAAGTTATAGTGATGTTTCTATATACACTCCTTTGCAAACGTAACCTTTAATTTCCCCATTTCCTTCACTTGCATTTAAAAAAAGGTGGAAAAAAGAAACAAAATATTTTGTTTAGGGTTGAATGAAATGTTTTACTTGATGTGAAATAATTGTAAAAAATTCAGTTTGGTGGCTGAAGCAAAACATCAATTATTCTCACAGCTCTTCTCATATTTGTAGTTTGAACATAATTAAATGGAATAAATGTGACAACAGTAGTTTCAACATAAAAGAAAGTTTATCAGGGTCATTAATGTACTGTGGTGTATTTTACCTAGTGGTTTCTCTATTTTGTATTATTTGATTAGGTCAGTGTAAAGAAGTTCTGTAAGCGAAACAACCGGCTATTTCTTGAAAGCCTAAAAGAACTATGTTGGATCAGGGGAAGGCGTTGTGAGCTATTTCACTTAAAATCTTGGCAGAAGCAAAACTGAACTTTTCACTAGATGTAAAGCGAAGTCCAGATATTAGAATTATAATTTGAGAAATGCTAAGAACTTTTTTATTTTAAAATGACCATCCTGCAAAACGGTGTTTCTGATTCTCTCATGATCTTTAGACTTTTTTCTCTGTTTTAATTCTGTCAACTGATAAGTTTATGAATGTAGTGATAACTTGGTCATGATGAGCTATATTCTGTTAGGCTGGTGCAGTTGTAGATCAATTAACTAAAGTTCTACTGCAGGAACTGAGAGAGAGATGGTATACTCTTTTCTAGAATTTTTGTGGGGAACCTTTCAAAAAGGGAAATAATTTAAAAATTGAACTCACTACTGGAACAGAGAAAAAATGAACATGTAAAATGCAGTGTCAGGAAACTTTTTTGTTCTGTAGCATTCCCAATTGAAAATATATCTCATTTGCATTAGTTGTATTCACAGAAGAGGATTGTGCAGCATATCTTTTGATTTTTATTTGTTGCTGACAAGGAAGAAAATCATTAACAGGGTATTGTTGTTTTGTTATAAGAACAGTATCTTGGAAGGGAAAGAAGAGAAACTGTGAAATACTGCTACATAGATTTTGTCTTGTGCTCCCATTTGTGCGAGATCAATTAAGAATTTTCCTTGAATTTTTAACATTAAACACTTTTGTGTGTTTTTTCTTAAGACCATAATTTAAAAAAAAAAAAAAAAAAAGATGAGTTGTCATTTACCATTAATTGAGTTCTGTCATGTTGCCTCATTTAGGGTGTCTGCTAACTTTAAATTTTTTTAATAAACACTTGTGATAAGATTCTAGCAGCTCTGCAGTAGTATTGCAAGCTCAAGCCGCCCCTTTGTAGAGCTGAAGAGCCATTTAAGAGTCTTTTTGTAGACTTGTTGATGGTGAACTTTGGGAAAATTTGTGTGGCTAGCAATTCAGGTGACTCGTTTTGAAACAAACAATTTGCATATGGTAGGACGGTAGCCAGCCCCATGAAGGTAAAATAATTCGATCCTTTAAGCATTGGCTACTGATTCAAGAGCTGAAGTTTCAGTTTCCAGCTCTGCTGCAGCCTTCCTACATGAACCACTTAACATACACTCCCCTCAGTTCTTCGTGCATAATCTGGGAAATAAATATTATTCACAAGTATATTGTAGGATGTGCTGTTAATGTTTTTGTATTGCTTGGACAGTTTGGTTGGGTCTCCACAAGTATGCAGAAATATTTAAAATTTTTTGCTTCCATTTTAGAAAACATTGATAAAATTAGAGGCCAGGTTTGTCATCTGCGTGCACAGGAGCTTTAGCCATAGAATTTTCAAAATGGTTGAAGGAAATGTTTGGTCAGCAAACGCCTGCTGTGCTATTAAATGTAAATCAATCTAAATTGTTTTGGGTCAACTGTAATTTTTGTTTGTTTACATTGTCAGGTAAAACTGGAGTATAGATTTTGGTAGGTTCTTGGTAGCCATGTTGTTCTGAGACAAAAAGACATACACAAAACTAGAACTCTCGGTTCCAAAATGATACCTTTTATTAGACCAACTGGAAAATGGCAAGAAAATTGTCCTTTCCTGCAAGGTTTCGGGTTCAAAGTCCTTTCGACAGGCTCTGGGAAAAGTATAGATGCTACAAGATGGTCACTCTCATGGACCCAGAGGAACAGCCTTCCATCTTCAGTTCCCTCTGTGCAAACATGAAGTTTATTTCCTACCTATGGGGACTTTTTACCATCTTGTACCATCTACACTTTTCCCAGAGCTTGATGAAGGGACTTTGATGCTGAAAACTTGCAGAAAAGGACAATTTTTC